CCGGCCTAAGGAGAGGCCCTCGGGCAGAGTTGAGCGGAGAGTAGGGCTCTGCCTCCACAGAGCTGCTCGCTCGGCCTTTTGCACCGGGGCCACGGTTTGTTCTTCACCCTTAGCTTCTGTCTCATCTCTGGGAAACCCCTTCCACCCACCTCAGGGCTCTGGTTTCCAGCTCTAAACTTGCCGCAGGTGGGACCTGCTCGCCTACGGCCCCGGGGCTCGCCTCTCCATCCCCCCGGCCCCGTGGAGGCGAAATGTCTTCATGGAGGTTACGCGGCTCGTGATGGGGAACACCGGCATTGCCGGTTGTGCAGAAGGCTAGGGTGTGCTACACCGTTTCTGCCTGGGTAGTGGGGCTTAAACTTGGGTGTGTGCTTGAGCTGCAAGGAGTTTTTATTAAGTTAGCAGTTGCCTGCCTGCAGTGCCCTAGCTGGCTTGGTGGGTAATGGGCGTGTGTTCAGGGTGGTTAGGCCTTTGTAATAAATGGGAGGATTTCACTACAGAAGATGTGATTACCTTAAATACGAGTTCATCTTTTTTTTAGCGTTGTCCCACAAGCGGCGGCTGGGTGCAATAAGCCGGATTTACACACAGAGATATTTATGTAGTGTTTACACAAAGATGAGTGCTAGGTGCTAATTCCACAAAGCTAGCATGCCACAGAGAGCAATTACAACACATTTGTTACATGATTAGTAAAAATCCACCTAAATTTACTGTAGTGGTCAATAATTACCTAGCCCTTTTGCAAGCCTGTCTTGCATGCTCCTTACAGGTGGGTGCAGGCACTCTGTCTGCATTTTTCTTTCTTGGTTGGATTGAGTCAGTGGTCACAATCTCCCCCTCTGCAGCCTTTAACTTCGGCTGACTATGTTCTTTGGCAATCGTTCACAGTTTGCTGGGGCCGGATGTTTGCTTTTTATCAGTTCTATTTAGTTTTTCTTCAAGAAAGATAGTTAGGAAGGCGTGCATTTATACAAGTAACTAGCTTAATCAGTAAAGGCATTGAATTAACATGCTTTCACAATGTAATTTTTGATCAATGTTCCTCCTTAGAAGACCAGGGTAGGATATTTAAGGATATTAATTTTAGGATATTTAAGCAGTCTCACTACAACCTAAGCATTAATCCAGAAGAAAAGTTGAGAAAGCAGGTTTTTCAACTAAGCCACTTGTACAACCTTGGGTTTTATAGCTGTTCATTCCTCCCACTTTTTAACCTGTAAATGGAATGGATAATACACACTGTTTTAAAAGACCTTGGCATTGTTAGCTGGGGGAAATAAAAAAACCCAAAACAAACCAAAACCCGGATGTCAAAATATCACTTAATCCCCAGGTATTCTTTAACATTTGGAGGAGGAGACAGGTTTTGTACTTTCTATACATTATTTGAAATAGATTTGCTTCCTGACTAGCGAAAACCCAAAGGTCATGTTGCAAGTACTACAGGGTATGAAAGTGAACATACTGGTACAAAATTGGCTGCCTTAAGTTGAAAGTTTGTGAAACAGCAATTGAGTTGGTTGCGTCTCTAAGCAGTTACTTGTTACTAGAAGACTCTGAAGAGGGGGAGTAACAACTCGATTTTTAGCTTGGGCAGGCAAGCTTTGTCAGTGTGCTGTAAAAGCATTTTTTTAATCATAATTTCAAATTTTAACACACATAATACTTGAAAAAATAGTTCATGCAATGGGCTTGCTGTTGTTTCTTTATACCGTGAGGTTTTTTTTTTGGTTTGGAAAATGCAGAAATTCAGTACTTTTTTTGAAACAAAGCTTACAAAAGTGGTAGATACTACATCAAATTTTTCAAGGCGTGTGTAGGCCACATTTCTTTTGCTTCAGAAATTCCGTTCTGGGGTTAAGAAGAGGGGGATGCAAGGAGGGGTTAAATGAGAGCAAGAAGGATTGAATAGTGGCAATGCAGGTTGTACTTCACCAGGCAAAGTGTGTTGCAAAATTCAGGTTCTAGCTCCTGAATTGCTCTTGTACCTGGGATCAGTGTAAGTGTGTCGCTATAGGGTATGCCCAAACTTGGTAACTTTGTGCTTTCAGCATAGTCATAGGCAGAATATCTTGGGACGTGCTGCCCAGAAAGATCCGGAAGTGGTAGTTCTGCTGCTGTTGAGCACGGTTTTTGTCTCTAAGTCCCCTCAATGGCTTTTGAAAAATCCAGTTTGCTAACAACCTCATCTCATCATCTCAGTGTACTTCTTGAGAGTAATATATGAGTAAAACACCTAGTTGACTTTCAGGGTGTATTTGATATACAGTTAGTCTTGTAGTTGTTAGTTTTGTTAGTCTATTGGTGGTTGGCACCCCAGCTGAAATGTGCATGTCTGTTTGTATTATGCATATAAAAATTCCAAGTAAAACTTCAGAGGTTGTTTTTACATAGCACAGTTAAGAATGTAGGTCAGAGTTATTTCTTCTGATTTTCTTTCTCTTTGAACATAAACCAATCTTACATCAATCTTAAATCAAGAACAGTGTGCATTAAATGTACGTGATGCTTCAAAATTAGGTTTTTATTTTTCCCAGCATAGATTGGTTGCTTAGAACCCCAGAGTTGGATTGACTAGGTGTTGGAAAGTCAGCTGGGAATACAAACCACTAAGAGAAGGTATGGGGAACTCTGCCTCTTTGGTGATATCGGTGGGTATGAAGTGTGAGGATTTGATTAAGACTGAAACTCCATGTGAATACTTCTGTGTGGTTAATGATTGCATTTGGAATTACAGCTTACAAAGTTCTTACCATCAGAAAACTTGGAAAAAAATGTGTTGCCCATCGGACTGTAGGAATTTTTTGATGTTAGAAAAATGCAAAGTTGCTTTCTTTAATAAAATAACTCATGTACAAATTGTTACGTGTTAATGAGCAATTCTCATCTTGCCTGTTGAAATAACACTTAGACGCAGAGTTACTAGTATTTTAGCAGGGGAAAATCTGAAATCAAATGGGAAGTTTGTTTCAGATGTGATTTTGTTGTGTAGTCTAGGGAATTCTTTCTAAGCCTTTTCTGTTACTGAGGAAGTTTCGAGGTACTGTTTAATTTGATATTTTTTGATAGCTTAGCAAAGTTGGATGGCTCTCTGGAGTAATATTGCAAACCACAAGATTAATCAGTGAGTTTGACTTACTGCAAGGGCTGTCTGATGTTAATAGATCTTTACCGGATTCAAACTGATTTGGTGGTGTGGCAGTATTCCCTTCTGACTACTGTGAGAGATTTATCATAGGAGAGACAGACACCTCCGAGTTTAAATCTGGCATCTTCCTGATGTCAGGTATTTTAACTTGTTGATAATTGTTTGAATTTGTCAGCTGATAATAATGATTTATCATGTGATATATTCCCTGAATCCTGTTCCAGTTGAGAGGTCGTGTCTAGGTGTGCACAATATGCCTATTTCTTAATTTTGTGCTCATGTGACTCCTAACAGCTTTTCCTTTTTAGTAATAGGTCAAAGAGCTTTGCTGCCAGGCCTGGAGAACGTTCTGAAACAGCAAATGCTGAAGTTAAAAGTCCGTATTTGATGCCTTCCATGAACCCAAAACTTAGTTTGTGCATTGAGAGGTGAGTATGTCTTCAGTTTAGGAGTAAAGAGTGCACGCTGTTGTCACATCCAGACAAATAGAATCGTAGAATCATAAAGGCTGCAAAGGACCTTTAAGATCATCAAATCCAACCTACAGCCCTACACCACCCTAACACTAAACCGTCTCCTGAAGTGCCACATCCAGCCACTTTTTAAACACGTCCAGGGATGGTGACTCCACCATCTCCTTTGGCAAGCCGTTCCAATACTTCACCATCCTTTTGGTGAAGAATTTTTTCCTAATATCCAATCTAAACTTTCCCTGGTGCAACTTGAACCCCTTCCGTCTTGTCCTGTCGCTATTCACTGGGGAGAAGAGGCCAGCACCCATCTCACTACAGCTGCCTTTCAGGTAGTTGCAGAGAGCAATAAGGTCTCCCCTCAGCCTCCTCTTCTCCAGGCTGAACAGCCCCAGCTCCCTAAGCCTCTCTCCATAAGTCTTACCCTCTAGTGCCCTAATCATTCTGGTTGCCCTTCTCTGTACCTTCTCCAGCACCTCAATGTCCTTCCTGTGCTGTGGAGCCCAGAATGCGACCCCTGGGTTTGCTTCGGATTGTAGCTTAGATTCTGGATTACTGCAGACAACTTAAGAGGTGCAACTACACCAACAATGAGAAAATGTAAATGATTTATTGGGCAATGTGTAATAAGCAATAGCTAATGAAAAGATTGTGTATTAGAGAGAAGCAGAATAGTTAAGAGAAAGGGGAGAGAAAAGAGGAAAGAAGAGAGGAGATAGAATGATCATCACCCTGGATTCCAGTGTTGTCCAGCATTGTTTTCAGATCCAAGATGATGGGGTGCCACCTGTAGCTTGACAGGTTGCGTTTTTATAGTGTTCAGCACATCTAACCCCCTTCTACAGGTGGAGTCTGCATTAATTTCCACACAGGTGCTGTGGCATCTTCCAGAGAATTCCTTAAATGGGTTGGGAGGCTGCTTTGGGAGTCGCTGGTGGTCCTCTGGGGTTTGAGCTGCCCTGTAACTTGCCTGACTGTAGGTGTGGTTCAACCATCATGTTGTTCCATTGATATGGTTCAGTGAAGTCAGTGAACATAGGACGGAGACAGACCATCCCTGCAGGGGCCTATTCCCGTGACCTCCAGGAATCAGACCCAAGTGGCAAGATAAGGACCATGGCTGCTTGAGACATCTTTCTTTACAGTCTCTCACAACCATAAGCCATCTGTTGACTGCTTCAGTTATGATGCTCATACCTTTGAGATTTACATGTCAGATTTTCTGAGTTGAAAATGAAAGACTGGCTTTTCGGGACTACTTTGTGATCCTGTGTTGACCTGATATTGTCAGTCCTGGTTTTCCTTCACCTCTCTTAAGTTCATACAAAATATGTAGGTTTTCCAAGTCTCAAAGCCTTCAGCAACTCCTTTGCTAATCATGGGCTGTGATGTTCCCTGAGAATAAGATTGCTACTGTATTACTTAAATAAAGGCCGTTTTGGGATGAAACTTCTGATGTTTCTCCTGTTGCTTTGTATAGAGAGGCTTAGGATGATGGTGTGATGAGAGGGGAGGAATAAAGCAACTGCTGCATATTTGCTGCAAGGTAAATGTTTCCCTCCCTGTTTGGCAGTGAAAGGGCACTTTCAGTATAATCGTGAGTTGTTTTCTTTTTTAAAATCTGCTATGTTTCTACAAAAACCATCTAAAAATATGCTACATGAAAGATTAATTAATTTTCTTGGGTTTATACATTTTGTAGCATCTTATGTAGTCATTTTTTTGTTTTCCATTGGATGGCCAGTTCAATCCCTTATGCTGTTAGCTTGGTGTGGAATACAAGAAAAAAATCCATTCTATCAGCTTCCTTTAAAGAAAAATAATATAGTTGTAAATACTACTAATAATAGTTGTAAAAACTGCTGTTGAGAATTCTAGATCAAGCATATTGTTGTAGCTAATTTGCAGCTTTTTAAAGGATCACTTCTTAATTCTCTCTGGAATAAATGAAGTAGCTGCTTTGAGCTTAGATTGTTATTTCACATAACTGCAAGTTTTGGCACAGTTGCCTCTACTAGTGCAACTAAGATTTTGAATTCTAATTCCAGACTTGGGAGAATTAGCATTATTATAATCCTCTGCTTGAAAGCTATATACTTCTTAAATAAAATACTATAAATCAGAAAGTGTTGTAAATGACAGTAGTAAAGGGACAAGAGACACAGCTGAGGTGTTGACTTTAACAGCAGCTTATATTTTCAGTGATGGTTTTGATGTCAACATATTGCTCCAAAAAGAGAATAAAATACATCTCTTTTAAACTCTGTGCAGTTACCAGATGCTCCTTGAAGGTTATGAGGTTTCTGCCTGTTAATACAAAAAAATCACGGTAGCTCCTCTCTGGATTATGTTGTGCTTGTATTTAGGCTGGCATCTGCATTTCAGGAAGCAGTTACCACATGCTCCTTGAAGATTATGAGGTTTCTGCCTGTTAATACAAAAATCACGGTAGCTCCTCTCTGGATTATGTTGTGCTTGTATTTAGGCTGGCATCTGCATTTCAGGAAGCCTTACTGTTGTACAGAAACATTACTGATCTCAAGATGCCACTCAGGTCTTATTTTGAAGTTCAAATCTTTCTCTTGACATAAATGAGAAGTGTGTGAGACCCCTGAGCACACATGGTTTGAAGATTTTGTTGAGGTAGAGCATGATCCTGCTGTTTGACTGGGGCATTTCTGTCCTGGTGCTTCTTGAGACCTGACAGCACAGTCAGGAGAGTGAGTATGTGCTGTGCTGGCAGATGCTGGTGGTTGTGCACTAAATGTTAAAATCGTGGTGCAAGTGGTGAGAAACTGAAGTTGAATGAGGTAGTTTCATGTCAAATGGAGTTGAAGTTAACAAAGCGTACGGAAAATACAAACCAGTAACTTTTCATGTAATTGAGCTGTGCCACTTCAAATTGTTGTGGTGACTTGTTTTAAGCAAATGTCTGGCATCAAAGAGAGAAATCAGAGTCCAAACTCTGGAAATTAGCGCTTCAGCTGACTTTTGATTTGTGTATTTGCAAGCTGGCAGTTTCCGTATCTCTCGTTCTGCTCTGGTTTGGAAATAAATTTTTCTGCCATTGTCATTTCTGGAGTTTGCAGGCAAGTCTAACAGTATTTCTCTTTCTCTTGTGTCCCAGCATGCCACCAGAAACGCTGATGAAGATATTTTCCTATTTGGATGCTGCGTCCCTGTTATCTGTTGGTTGTGTGAATAAGCACTTCTATCAGCTGGCCAGTGACAAGTAAGGAAGAGGGAAGCGTAAATGCTCATCTTAATCGTGCAGCAGTTGAGTTTACCTGAGTTATGAGTCTTTCTAATTTACTTTCATTGACACCAAAGTACTAATGCGTGTACCTACTGGCAATTACTCTGCTGAAAATGTACCGCACAGCTCACACAGTACGTGTTGTATGGAATTACAGCTGTACAAGCCCTGTTAAGTTTACTGTGAGTTAGGAGGCGAAAGCTGAATACAGCATTTTCCAGTTTTGCTATTAGCATTTATTTTGTTGTAAAATTTGCATATATTTGTTTTTATTCATATGCACCTGCACAGGCTTTTTGGCTCAGGCAATCCTTAGTGGTTGTAGCCAGTAGCTTTATTGCATTGTTATAACTTTCATAATTTTGAAGTTCTACTTATTTAGCTCTTTCATCAGGTTTTTGCAAAGGATTTGATTTTGTCAAGTGATTCCCTAGTAGATTTTATCTGTTGCTTTTTCTCTCAAATCTTGGTGACTTCTAAATGAAAACAGAAGGGGCGAAGATACATTTTTTTTTTTTTTTTTTTTTTAAGCAACTGCTCATGCAGAGTTCACAAATTGCTCCTACCGGTGTCGTGATAATTCTGTGACAACACAATAACTAGGATGTCTGAGTATTCTTTTTTACTAGGATTCTGCTGCATTAGTGTTGTTTAAATGAGAAAATGTCTTCCTATACAGGAAGCAGCTGCATCTGGTATTCATCCAATTTCTCACTGATTTGCCAAAACTCGTACAGTGAATCATTTAACATCGCTGTTTGTGCCTTTAGAACTGATGAATTTAAAGGAAAAGTGTGAGAGACCGATAAAGCCATGTCTCAAGTAGTCTGGGCCTTCCTAGCAGAAAAGCCTGGCACTCGCCCGTGTTGTGCTGGGGGAAGCTTGTGGAGCTGGCTTGGCCAGTGTTGCCTGACAAGGGTGTGGGGCCTCGTTCGGGCACCTGAGGGAGCAGCAAGAGGTTTCCTGAGCCTGGTCAGTGCCCGTCAGAGGCAAACAGAGCTTGGAGTTACAGCTGCAAAAACAAAAGGCTCAAGCAACGGTCACACAGGCAGAGGGAGGGGTAACCCCCCTCAGGGGGACCTCTGCCATCCCCTAGACCTTTTTCTGGAAAATTCCTAAAGGAGAAGGCAGCATGCTTGGTGATTTTACACAAGGGGGGCAAACAGAGCCCTGGCAGGACGGGTACCTGAGTGTATAAAAGGTGAGTGCACCACAAGGTGGGCGAGATCGGGCATCTTCAAAGAGTTCCAGGGCCTGTTGGTCATCACGGGATCATAGAGTGGTGGTACCTTGTTCTTTCTTTTTCCGTTTCTATCTTCCTTCTCATAACATGAAAGGGTTATCTGTTGCAAGGCCTGTTGACACAGATGGTGATCTGTTTTGAGGCTCATTGATGTGGTCCTTAAGTGGGCACTTAAAGTTGGTGGTTGTGAGCAGTTATGGGTCATTTTTGTGAGTAAATAAAGTGGTGGTCAGATCCCTGGTGTCTTTTCACTTTAAGCCCAACCTGGGAATCTGCAGATTTGAGTCACTGCCCTGAAAGTTTGGGACGTGGTGGGGGGCTTAAGCCAGATTCATTTTTTGAGGCTATTGGTAGGTGCACATAGATAAAAGTTGCCTAGTTGACACAAATTATATAGTTTAATATGCGTTTTTCACTTCAGAATAGAAAGGTAGGGTCAAACTGTTCTGGCTGTTCGACGGAAGCCTATTCATCTGTCTCCCATGCAACAATGTCCAGTTCCATTTTCTAATCTAAACAGAATTACTGTATGTGCACAGATGGGATTTAAGGAAGAGATACTTTTCCTTATCTAGGAGACTGACTGGTTTAGTGGGATCAGGTCACTTTCTGCTGGATTTCTATGGACCTTCTTGAGTCTCTAAATCTTGTTCTGAGTCAACAGAAGGTTTTAATTGAAGTCGTCCCTGCCTGTGTCTGTGACAAATGTGATCTTGGTTTTTAGTAAGAGCACAAGGATATTTCTGCTGTCCTGGATATACAGGATACTGTCTTTAATGCAACAGGACCAGCAGTTTTTCATCCTATTGTATCTGTGCTGCCTGATTCAGTGCTTTGTCTTTGCGCTCTTCACATAATGGCTGTGCTTACATGGTTCCTTGTCTCTGATGTTTTCAGTGTAACTGTTGCAATGCAAGGAAACGTTTCTGACCCCCCCTCACCTTTTTGCAGCCCCCTTGTGCCAGCATGTATATTATTCCAGCCTTCCTGTAATGCAGTGTGGAGAGCTCACACGGATGGTCTGTCTGAAAGTCAGAGGGTTTTGATCACCAGCATAAAGTACTCATGTGAGAGGAAGTGAGATGCCAGAGCACAGGGGAAGCTTTTTGCCTGGATCTGTTTTGCCAGATCTGTTTTGTGGTCAAGGGATGATTGGCAGTGGTGTGTGCCTCATGCTGGCATCTGCATTAGCAGTCAGAGGTTGGGTTGGCTTGTTGTAACAATGTCCAAGGACAGGCTTTGAGCTAAGTGTTGCACTTAACACCTAGAGGCAAAAGTGATGCATATTCTGCTGTGAAAGAGGCACATTCTTGCTTCCCTGCTGGATAACTTTTTGAATTGTCTGCCCTGAATTCTTCAGAAGTTAAGAATGAAGGGGTAGTGATACCTCCCTAAACACCTGTGATCCCAAGTCCCCTTTTTTGTCCTCTGTCTCTGCTTCCCTGCTTTGACTGGATTTTTGAGTTTCTTGAACTGATTTCTCATCTGTTTGCACAATGTTTTTTGGGGAAGGGAAGAAGCAACGTGTAACCAAGAGTGAGAAGGGTGGTAGGTATTGGTGGCAAGTCTGTCTTCATTCAGTTCATGTTTCCCAAGACCGTACCATCAAAATGCAGGAGATGCCCACTGCTAACCCTCGTCTTTTCAGCATCATGCAGCCAGATGCTGAATATCACTCACCATGAAAGAAAGGAGGTCTGTCCTGGGAAGGGTTTTCTACTTAACAGGAGCCGGTTATAGAAGGACATCTTACTGGACTCTTTTGGCTGAATAAGACCAGTTGGGTGATACACAGCTCAATTTTGCCTGATGATGGTGTGTTAAGGACATACTCCTCTGTTTTCATTATCCTGCGCTTCTTAGCTGCTTTGAGTTTACTAAGAACTTCCCCCCTCCATCAGAAATGTATCTGATAACTGGGTTGTCTTTTCTGGTCTCAGAATTTGTGTTACTTCTGAGGTTGTTCTTCGTAGAATCATAGAATCATTAAGGTTGGAAAAGACCTCTGAGATCATCAAGTCCAGCCACTAATGCTGCTCTACAAAGCTCACCCCTAAACCATATCACCCAACACCACATCTAAACAACCTTTAAACACATTCAGGGATGGTGACTCAACCGCCTCCCTGGGCAGCCTATTCCAATGTCTCACTACTCTTTCTGTGAAAAATTTTTTCCTACTGCCCAGTCTAAACCTGTTGCAGTTTGAAGCCATTTCCTCTTGTTCTATCACTAATTACCTGTGAAAAGAGACCAGCACCAACCTCTCTACAGTGTCCTTTCAGGTAGTTGTAGAGGGTGATGAGGTCTCCCCTCAGTCTCCTCTTCTTCAAACTGAACAGGCCCGGCTCCTTCAGTTGCTCTTCATAAGATTTATTCTCCAGGCTCTTCATTGCCTTCCTGCGCTCACTCCAGCAGCTCAATATCTCTCTTGTATTGAGGTGCCCAAACCTGAACACAATACTCAAGGTGCATCCTCTCCAGTGCTGAGTACAGGGGGAAAATCACCTCCCTACTCCTGCTGGTCACACTATTTCTAATTCAAACCAGGATGCCATTGGCTTTCTTGGCCACCTGGGCACATCAGTAACAAAGAGCTTGGCTTTCAGCATGTGAGGAGTTATTCTCAGCAGCTCATGAAGTCAGAGTGGGTTTTTTTTATGGGTACGAGGCAGTGTGGGATGGATTCAGTCCTTGAATGCTTTAAGGAGGGGCAAAATGTGTTACAAAGCACATTAGGGTAAGTTTGCCTGAGGATAAGTGAGGACTGGTAAAGGTAATCTTGCTGATAACTGGTAGAGAATTTGGTTTTGTTGCTATTTATTTTCTTTAGTGCAGTTATGTAGAATGTGTAGCTAGCACTTTACAATTAGAAAACTTATTTGAAACCTTTCTTCACAGATTGTTGTTTGAATTCTTGTAACTTCTTGTACTGAATATTCCCTGAACTGTCCTAGAGATACTGGGGTGAAGAGCGAAAATATGACCTCATATTTTTCCTAACAGGAAGGAGATGAACCCATGCTGTTGCATGTTTCTTTGATGTCTTCAAAAAGATATCTGTTCTCTGAGCTTTTCCAAAGAGAGTGTAGAAGGGAATGACGGTGGTAGCACCACCAAACACAGATAATTCTAAATGTTCTTGTCCATCTCACTTTCATCTGGATCTGTGCGAGAAACTTGCCAGATACAGATTGTCATTGCTGAGTGAGAGGTATTAAACCACTTTTTCTGCTAGCTGACAATGTATGAGAACGAGACGTTGTTTTGAGGTGCCATTTTCAAAAGTAACTTTAAGTCGGTTTTAGCTTAAGTTGCTGAGTATGGCCGTGCTGTCTCTGAGCTTCACCCTGGATCCTATATTTTGAGGAAGGCAAGACTTACTTTGTCTTGTTTCCTTATGATAGTATTCTCTCAGATATATACTGTTTGGTTTTGGTGTTTTGTTGGGTTTCTTTTGAAAATCTGCTTCAGTGAGTGTCTGCAAAGGAGGGAGCAGTATAAGTGGAAGAAAGGCTTTTTAAAAACCACATATGCTAACGTGTTCTCAAGAGGCATACAACAGTGGGAAGTTCCCAGTATTTGATGATCCTACTTTCTGGAGCAGCAGCCAAACATTTTCTGTATATGTAGTTGAGATGCTTACTGACCTTACTGGCATATTCTAAGAGCTAACTGAATAATTTTTTAAATTTTTTTTTCTATGGTAGAGCAGAAAGTTGTAAGTGGATGTTGGTAGGTTTTATCCAGAACAAGAAATGTGTTTGGAGATTCCATATTCTTTGTGATAACCTAGTAAGGCCATGAGAAATGGTATTCTCTAGCATCTTCTGCTTCCTGAGTCTTCCATGTCTGCACCAGGGAAACTGACGTTGTATGAGCTGTTGGAAGGTCAAAATGGGGAAAGTGTACAACCATGTCTTTGCATTTTCTTGACCTAATACCTAGGAGGCTACAGTTTTTGGTCTTAAACTTAGTTTTAGAACAAACCCAGTTTGCTGTTAATCTAGGATTTGTATATTTTTCTCCTAATATTACTGCTCAGTGGTAGCTGAGACATGCATATGAGAGTAAGTAAGTAACAGTTCTTGATATTTGTGTGGTTTTCCTTTTAATTTTTATTTTCAGTGGAATCTGGCTGAAAATCTATTCCAGATGTTTTCAACCCAAAAGGACAATTTGGAAACTGAAGTCTGAACAAACAGAAACTGTTTCTGTGGGCTGTGCTGCTCTACATGATACAAAGCCTGGGTACTGGAAGAAAGAATACATCTTCAAACAAATAGCTTCTGTCAAAACTAGAGTAATACGACTTCTTAGACCTATAAATCCTTATACAGGCCTTCCATGTAAAAACAAAGAAGCTATGAAGTAAGCAATGTCTTGTCACAAAAGATGTTTATTTGAGAACAATATACAGAATGTTAATGGATTTGGGAATGCTAGGGGCATGGAAATAGAGCTATAGCATGTGTGTCATAATTGGAAGATACAGTGATAGCCTATAAGTGACCTAGCCTGAGAAACATAAGTAGCGGTTAATAGAAATTTGAAACGTCTGTTGGATATATAGTTTTAAGTTTTGTTACTTTGAGAATCATTTTTTTTAAACATTCCTCTCGCCTCTCAATTTCTAAATAACAGAGCCTCTGGCTTGAGTTGGATACTTGTTCTAAAGGACAAAAATGGAAAGGAACATGTAATGGAGAAGGCAAAGCTATCGTTTAAGGATACATCTGTTACTGTGCTTTGGCACAGTACAGATTGGCCTTGCTTAGACATCCTGTCAAGCCTAAAACTGTTTGGAGTTACACCATTGCTTCTTGACCAAGGCAGAGCTCCCATCAAGAATGGGTGAGTTTTAACATAGGATTTTTGAGGAGTTTGTGTAACTGGGTGATAATATGTCTGTAGGAGCTGTCTGACCTTGGTCTGACGTAGTAAGTTAATTCATTCTTAAGGCCTCTCTGTAGTATTTCTTCAAACACTTGCATCCTTCTTTTCAGTGGTGGAGCTTATTAGCAAGAAAGAGATATAACCCAGAAAGCTTTGACATTAATTCATACGTTAATGTGGTTACTGGCATGCAAGATATGTACTGATAGGTCCTGCCCTGGAAGTCTCAGTCTAAGGCATAGATAAAAATGAACGTGAAAGGCACATCTAGAAGAATTTTATGTGAGACATTTAAATTGGAACAGATCATCAATGTTTATATGGCTACAATCAGGTAATTTATGTTACTAACATACTTTTCTATCTGACAGCCATAGCTGTGTATGTGAACTTAGGAAATGTTGTGTACAGCTGTATGTACCACAGAAGTATGCACATATGAAAAAAAGCAGTCCACAGCACAACGTGGGGATAGCCGTTTTGGCTGTTTTGTAAGATTTGCAACTTAAGTGTGTACAATATTTTTCTGGCATTGTATTCTGAGAAAAGATGTATAAATTGAAAGTGCATATTTGAGGTAGGTGTGTGTTTGGTTGCTGTCAAGGAGTTTTCCACATAGCTGGATCTTAGGTATCATTTGAGTATATGTAGTATTGGCTATGAAACTCCTAGCAGTAGAGCTCTGAAAAGAAAGAAATGTCGCTTACCTACAAAAAAACCAAACACGGTTCCTCAAGCAGAAGCAAATTATTTGTCTGAAAAAAAAATAAAGAGAAGCCTTTCATGTAAAGTCAGTTAAACAATCCTGTAGGCAAATGATATGTGAGCTGTAGTTGATTTTAGCAAGATGATTCATATGTAGGAAATAGTAAAAGAAAACTTTGAAGCAGTTTGTGTATTTATTTCACAGAATTACAAGTTTTTAGAGCTTGTGAATATACATGAAGGTAATGATTTCACAAATACCAGAATGTTACTCAGAATGTTAAAATTACAAAGAACAAGTGCAAGGACTTTGAGAAAGCCCCTGTATTCATACCAGGCTGTTTGACTTCACGATAGAAATGGTTGATGTCCCATCCCTGCCCCAAATCTTAGGGTTCAAGGTAATGTGACGACATTCCT